CCAGCAAGAGGAGCTGCGCTGCAGTGCGGGCTCTTGTTCCTGCCTGCTGCTGCTTCTGCTGCTGCTGCTGCTGCTGCTGCTGCTGCTTCGCTAGCAGACACCAACACCCCAGGCGCAGCAGCAGCAGCAGCTGCTGCTGCTGCAGCAGGAGCAGCAGGCTGTCGAGCGAGTGTTCTCGTGGGCCCGCTGCATGTACACCTCACGGCTACGCTGCTGCATGAGCTGCGGCTTTTCTTTTGGCTCCCGCAGCAGCAGCAGCAGCAGCAGCAGCAGCAGCAGAAGTTGCTGCAGCTGCCAGATGGGGTAGAGGGAGACCAGCAGCAGCAGCAGCAAATAGATGAGTTGGAAGGAGGGCAACAGCAAAAGCAGCAGCAGCAGCAGCAGCAGCAGCACTCGCTAGCGGCACTGCCTCTCCGCGCTTCAGGTAGCTGCTGCAGCAGCCGCTGCAGCAGCAGCTGCAGCAGTAGCTGCAGCAGCAGCTGCCGCAGCAGCTACTTGTGGCGCAGTAACAGCAGCAGCAGCAGCAGCAAAGCTAGCAGCAGACGGTACCCGCAGCTGTATTCTATCGACAGCCAGGAGATAACGCTGAGGCAGCAGCAGCAGCAGCAGCAGCAGCAACAGCAGCAGCAGCAATTGAGGGGGCGCAGGACGAGGAAGGATACAGGTGCAGCAGCAGGTTCAGCTGCACCTGCTGCTGCTGCTGCTGCTGCTGCTGCTGCTGCTTGGCCAAAGATTCATTTCGTTGTGTCTGTACCCGAGGTGGATGTGCGGCTGCTGCTGCAGGTGCCTGCTGCAGACGAGGGCAGCAGCAGCAGCAGCAGCAGCAGCAGCAGCAAAGTGAGCAGCAGCAACTCCAAGAACGTGCTGCAGCAGCAACGCTGGCACGGGAGACTNGCAGCAGCAAAGTGAGCAGCAGCAACTCCAAGAACGTGCTGCAGCAGCAACGCTGGCACGGGAGACTCACTGCTGCTGCTGCAGCAGCAGCAGCAGCAGCAGCAGCTCGGCGAATTCGTTGGCTGCACTTTGCGTTGCGCGCTGTAAAGTAAGGAAGCCAAACCCTAAACCCTAAACCCTTAACCCTAAACCCTAAACCCCAAACCCTAAACCCTAAACCCCAAACCCTAAACCCTTAACCCTAAACCCTAAACCCCTTTCTGCAGCTTGTATTCCCTACAAACCCTGCTGCGTCTGCATCCACTTCACTTTCTCTGTCAACCTGGTAGCCTAGGGTTTAGGGTTTAGGGTTTAGGGTTTAGGGTTTAGGGTTTATGTTGCTGCAGGGTTAGCCGTAGCGCTCTACCTGAGTATGTTGAGAGGGAGCTGCTGCCGCTGCTGCTGGCGCATTGTCTTTGCTTCATTCCTGTGCTGCACGTGGCTTTTGCTGCCAGCAACACTGCTGCTGCNGGCGCATTGTCTTTGCTTCATTCCTGTGCTGCACGTGGCTTTTGCTGCCAGCAACACTGCTGCTGCTGCTGCTGCTGCTCCCAAACCTCATGCTGCAACACCAGCAGGGCCAACCACGTCAACAGCAGGCATGCAGCAGCAGCAGCAGCAGCAGCAACAGCAGCAGCAGCAGCAGCAACGACGCTGCTGCAGCAGCGCCTCACTGACCATTGGAATGCTGCAGCTGAGGGTGCAGCAGCAACTGCAGCAGCACGCACAGCCGGCAGCAGCAGTGGCGGAACCCACTACTGCTGCTGCTGCTGCTGCTGCTGCTGCTGCTGCAGCAACAGCAGATAGCGCCCAGGTCCTGCTGCAGCTCGAGGGCTTGGAAGCCGAGGTGATGCAGGATGACGTCGATGACGGCGCTGCTGTTGCTGCTGCTGCTGTTGCTGCTGCTGCTGCTGCTGCTGCTGCAACGCAGCGAGCCCCAGCAGCAGCCACCCAAATCCAAGCTGCGCAGCAGCAGCAGCAGCAGCTTCGTCCTGCTGCGGCCGAGCCACACAGCTGCAGCAGCAGCAACAGCAACAGCAGCAGCAGCAGCAGCAGCACGGCCCCTCATATCTGCCTGTACACCTCAGCC